AAAAAAAAAATTAAAAAAAAAAATTTCGAACTTCGAAAAAGCATTGATTTTTGTCAAAAAACTGAAAAATTCCATATGTATTGACTTACAAAAATTTTTTAATATTTTTTATCGGAAAGTACATCTAAAAACAAAAATTTTGAAAAAAAAAGGTACCTAAATGTTTAGTTTTGAAAAAGTTATGGCTATTTGAAAATAAAAAAGCCATTTTTTTGAAAAATTCATAACTTTTTTGGAGTTAGGTAAAAAAATTCAAAAAAATTCTGAGAACCGTTTTTTATAGGGTAGAAAAGGATGGAAAACTTTCGGCCAAATCGAAAAGGGTCGGGGTCAAAAGTGGTCGATTTGGCATGGAATACCCCATATATTATAACGGAAGTTTGCCTGACCTGGGGATTTACCAAGCCAGGCTCACCGTTTATATTGAATTTTGGCATACCTCAAAAAAGTCATATAATGAAGGGCGCCAGGAGAATAATCTCCAATTAATAACTTCGACATCGGCTAACTCTTACCTCTTCCTCAGGGTAGCGGGCCATATTGAAATACACGTCGAGAAAAAAAAAAAAAAAAAAAGCAAAGGCAACATTCTTAAGAATTAATCGAGATAAATTCAAAGAATTTAACAAAAAAAAATAACAATTTATTCAACAAAATATATACGGCGGCGATCGATATCAATTTTTGACAAAAAAAAATCAAAACGTCATTACTTCAATGTTCTAGTAGTTTTTTTAACAAAATAAAAAAAATTAAACATCGTTCATCAATTTTTTAATAGCATTAAACGTCGTTACTTCAACTTCACTTACACACTCACATCCATATCACAGCAATCATGCAATACAATAATAGCATCTAATAAATGATCGTAAAGCGTTGAATCCTCGCGAATCATTGTCATAATAAAAAGTATTATAAAATTTCACGCGGATTCAACACTGAACAAGAACGTCGGCTTACCAAGTAATTGAGCGTCGTCCTCGTCGTAGCAGCTCGGAAAAGCTTCGTGCGGTCGACTCAAAATTAATTGATTTTAAAATATAAATACGTTACAACAAATTATAATTAATTTCAACAAACAAAATCGCGACAATACTTCGAAATTAGAATTTATGTTGCGGCGCGCGCAAAAGCGCGTCCGTGTCCGTCGACAGTCCAGCCTCGAATCGTCTTTTTCCAGAAAAATCGTCCGCTTCTTTCTTTGGAATTGATCACCATCGATAATTGATCTAGGTCCGTATAACAGTCAACGGGCCTCCACGACAGCTTTAGTCACCTCTGCTCCAGCAGTACTGACTAGCCAACTGTCATCGATGGTGATTGTCATAGTAGAAAAATGCAGCAATGCAGCGTCGAGTTGTCTTCAGACCTCTCGAGTGTTTACGCCGCTCGGTGTCTCACTCGCTTCGGTACTCGCTTCTTGTCATCGTATCGCTATCCTTGTCGCTCCACTTCGTAGTCTCGTACGCTCTGTGACTCGTGCTATCCTCGTTACTCGTACAGCGTTGCGTATTTTGACAAAATAAATTCAATACAATTTAGTAAAATTTCCATTCAGTCACACATAACATTCACAACGTTGGATTCGAGCCTGGAAAGTAAATATACCCCAAGTATTGGGCGTCGAATCAAAATCTACCACGTTACAATATATATAATATTACTTGATTTA